TTAAATTGTATTTATTAAATTTATATACCACACTGCTGACTTACGCTTGATCTGTGATCTCCTGGGACACCCAGATCCTTCTTACAAGCATCACTGCCAAGCCAGTACCTTGTACCTGTGCATCCGTTTTTTTCCCTATCTACCCAGAATCTTAAATTTCTTACACTGAACAGGAATTTGTTGGATAGAGCCCAATGTTCATTTTATCAAGATGCTTTTGAATCTGAGGTGTTAACAATACCCTCACCAGCCTAGATTTGTGTCTGCAGATTTGTTGAGCATCCCTTCAGACCCTTCATTTAAGTCATTTAGAAAAATGTTGGTGAGCACTGGGCCCAGGATAGAACCCCGAGGTACCCCGCTCTTACCTCTCTCCATGTAGACATAGATCCATTAAGGACCGCACATTCAGTACAATTGTTCAACTAATTGCAACATTTATCAAATGCTTTACTGAAATACAGATACACTATGGCATTCCCTTGGTCTATTAATTTAGTCACTTTGTCAGAAAAAAGCAATAAGATTTGTCTGATTTTACTTATTGTTAACAAATTCATACTGGCTTCTTATACACCTACTGCTTAATTATCTTTTCTAGAATTTTCTCAGGTATTGATGTCAAACTGATTGATCTGTAGTTTCTTGGGTCCACTTTTTTCCTTGGTTTAAAGATTGGAACATTAGCTCTTCTCCAGTCTTCTGGAACTTTCCCCAGGAGTTGTCAAAGATTACAGTCAGTGGTTCTAAGATCACATCCACCAATTACCTTAGCACTCTGGGATTTCACCCTCTTTCTCCTGTCCTCCGCTTAGTACCTCCTACTGTCTTCTCTTTCAATTGCCCAACACTTACAAATGTGTTTTGGTTGTATCCAGAAAAACCATGCATCTTTTGGTTTGGACATGAACCACCCAAAACCAGCTGTTTCATGTATGGAAAAGCTTGCACCTAAACTGCTTTGCACAATCCTATTTACATTAGAAGGAAGCTAAGAAAGCATACAGGAAATGTACATCTGATAAGTTTTGCAGACAAATCCAGATTTGACTAAACATATTTAGATACGAAAGTCAATTTGTTGCATTAATTCTAGTGAATGCTTCACAGATGGTGTAGACAAAACATCTTTAACATTTGACTTTACTAGCAGTCAAGAAAAGCCTGTGAATTCTACAGGTAGCTTGAAGTTCATGTCTCGAAATTGCCACCCAGCTTGATCCCAGCTAACAAAGAGTGGCTAAGATTGAATTTAGGATGTTCTTTATTATTCTTTATTGTATGTCCCAGGTATCAGGCACTAAGAAATTGTTTTGTCAGAATGTCTGTATCCATAGATTCAGACCAATGTCTAGAGATCCATCTCTGGCTCCAGGAGGATTCCATCTGGGATTGTCCTCTGCTTCAGAGTTTCTCTCTCCTCTTCTTTCTACTAGCTGTGTGTAATCCTAGAACCAATGCAGGAGTTGATGTCCCGGCACAAGACCTACAGTCTCAGTCCTCGGGATTGCCTCAAGACGTGCTTGTTCCAGAAGTGGCAACGTATGGTGGCGCCACCTGGTGAGACTTTTGACTGAGTGGTAGGGGAGAATATTCTGTTCACTGCCCACTAAATCAGATAATCAGATATATTTCCTACCAAGCCCACTTGAGGGCAGTAGGGCATTGTTCTTCTGTCAGTTGGAATGCCTCTCAAGCCTGCTTTCTAGAGCTTTGATGAGTGCTATCCTGTGCTAAAACCCTATCTCTGAAACTCTAGCATGGGACATGAAAATGAAAGTGGGAATTAGTGTGGAAATGAAGATATGTTACAGAGCTTGATGAATCAGGCGGTATATAAATTTTTGGAATAAATATTGGCAAGTATATCAGGTCTTGCTTGGAGCATGCAGATTTACAATTTGGCTGTGTTGAAACACTTGGGAACACTAGATTCTTTTACTAAAGGCAAGATATCTCACCAAATGTTACTTCATGAACACCTTCCCAGCTGAGCCTGCACGTCAGCAGCCTAGTAAGCGCCGGAAAAGGAAGATGTCTGGAGGTAGCACCATGAGCTCCGGCGGAGGCAATACCAACAATAGCAACAGCAAGAAGAAGAGCCCAGCCAGCACCTTTGCCCTCTCCAGTCAGGTACCTGTAAGCATCCCCTTTTCATTTTTTCCTTTCTTTTTAACCTGAGAACTCCTTGGCCTGGGGCCATGTTTCATGCAGCTGGAGCACTCTCAAAAAGGGTGGGTGATGCTTCCTACAACAAAACCTGGCAGAATTCTGGCTTCTAGGAGTCCACCAACTGGAGCCAGGCTCAGTGAGACACCCTAAGAGTTAAGGAATAAGGTCACCTCTGAGCACATAAGCCACCCAGAATTGATCTTCCAAACTGCCTTTACACAGAAATCCATTCCTGATTTTCCTCCACATGTTCTTTTTCAGTAACCTGGTTTATAAAGGGAAAGCAGCTTAGTTGTTACTGTTAAATGAATGTCATAAACCCTTGCTAATCTACCACAGATGTCCCAGAGATATTTATCTTGATTATGCCCATCCTGGTTTTATAATGTAGAAGAGATAAGAAAGTTTTGCTTGTTCCTTAATGTAGCAGTCCATTTGGAGGCTCTGTGTGGACCCTGTTAGTGCCAGAGTCTCATTTTTTGTGAGCAGGAAGATATTCAGACTTCCTCCTCTTCAAGTTACAGTAGGCCTTGAACCATTCAGGTCAGAATTGAGAGGACACCATGACTCTCCAGTGTCCCAGGGTATCCAGTGATTTATCAGATGCTGTCTGTGTCCAGACACAGTAGAAACAGAAACAGTGCCATTGTTCTAAGTCCAGAGAGGGGCAGTGTTGGAAGGGAATATTACAGCCTCCCCAGATTAGGTGCCTTCCAGATGTTCTTCAACTGCCACCCCTGGTTGTTGAGTCCTAACACATCTGGAAGGTGCCAGGTTAGGGAAGGGTGAGTAGAGGCTGAAGTTAATTTTGATTCCTCATTCTAGGAGAGTAGGGGGAGATGTCCTTGCTTTTGTGACAGCTGGCTCCCTTGAACATTGTGATATGGGTCAGGGCAGTCTCCACCTCGATTATGTTTCGGGACCCTCTTCCCTCCTCAGGATGTGATGGTGGTGGGCGAGCCAACCCTGATGGGTGGGGAGTTTGGCGACGAGGATGAGCGCCTTATCACACGACTGGAGAACACACAGTTTGACGCTGCCAATGGCATTGATGATGAGGACAGCTTCAACAACTCTCCCGCGTTGGGTGCCAACAGCCCCTGGAACAGCAAGCCCCCTTCCAGTCAGGAGAGCAAGTCTGAGAATCCAACGTCGCAAGCATCACAATAAAGCCCCCAAACCAGTGCCCAGCCGGGCCTATACTTGACTTGGCTGGTGCCCCCACGGACTGAGTCGAAACCGTTCTACCTGGACAATTGTGAAGAAGAGTGGCTGGCCGACAAGGTATCAGGGCCTATGGGCACTGCAGCACCTGCCTGCCTACAGTTAGCCTGGCCACGATTCCCTGCTGTCTGCACTCTTGGCTGTGCCCTTTAGGGCAGAATTGGAACAGTGGGCTTCTAGTCCCAGCAGAATTTTAATTCCTTCTCCCTCCCTGTCCATGCATCCAGTGCCCTGGACACCACAAGCAACTATGGTATTCCATAGCAGCCCCTTAGAGCCTCAAAGCTTTGCTGGATCAGCATGGAGTACCTTGGGAGGCCACAGGACTGAGTGCTTAAGATGGGCAGGAAGAATCTGGCCTAAGCCCCCTTTTATCAGTTTCATATTAGGCATCAAGAGGGTTCCATTTTAGCCGGAGAGTCTAACAGAGTCTTGTGGACAATGTCATGACTCATATTTGGGGCAGCTATGATTTTTATGGGTTGAATCTTAAGCAGTTCATCTTGACTGTCATAGAGATGGCAGAGCAATGATTCTGCTTTGCCTGAAGAACCCAGAAAACCAGTATGGCAGGAGATAATGTGGGGTTTTAAATTTTCGGGAATGCATTAGAAAAATATTCTGCAGCTAACCTGGAAGGGCATTTGTCCTTTTGGTCACATCTTTAGGCATGGACTGTTTTGCCCCCACCTGCTCCTAAAGGAAACTGCAGTCCTCATATATACCCCACCCTCAGTATTTTGGGCTTTTTTAAAGAAATAAAATAAAATTGTAAGTTTAAAAAAATCTGCCCTCCCTCCCTATTTCCCCCAATCCTGATTTTTGTACAGGCTTGTCTATTAATTGGGAGTCTTAGTTTTTGTATACAGTTCTGAGAGCTTCAAACCAAGGAGAGACTTTGCAGACTTCCTTTATACACTCTTTTGAGGACAGCATGGCTGCCCCACTTGCCCCCTCTGTGTAATTTGTGTGTGCTGCTGTTCCTGCTCCACCCTCCTCTACCATAACCCTCCCCTTTCAAGTTTGTGTACCTCGTGCTTGTATATTTCTGCGCTGTATGCTGTGCGTATGATGCTGTTCTTTCACTGTGTTCTCACTAAGGCAGCCACTCCCATTACTATTGGTGGTGGTGGGGAGAGTTGATTGTGATGGGTGTCCTTCTTGGGAGGCAGGAGAGTTCAGAGGGTACTGTCACCAATTTACAGCAGTGCAGAACTACAGGAATGGGGCTGAAGATATGGCATCTGGGGAAGCAATGTATCCATGTTTTGCAAAGGAAGGGTGATTGTTTCTTCTCTTTATGGAATGGTCTCTAGGAAACCATTGCCTAGCCAGACACATCCGTTTTTATTCGAAATGCTGGTACTTAATCCCCAAGGAAGCAAACCCACTTACCTACCTTCCTACCTTCCAATGTTCTTCCTTGAAGCCTAGTTTTATCCTGTACATCTTGGAGAGAGAAGATGCTTTATGTCACAGAGGCCTCAAAGTTGTTACATGTGAGGCATGGTTTTCCATTTTTGAGAGGAGTGCAAAATAACTTTTAAGATATTTTGGCCACCTCATGGCATAGACTGATTGTGAGGGTGATTGCATTTAGGGGGTCAAAGTCTGTAATGTCGTGGCACGATATCCTTTACCTTACTGAGGCTGTTTCTTCAAGATGATCTCTATCTGCAAAGATTTTTGTCCCTTAGCAGCAGCATTGTCATCAGTTTGCCTAGAGCTGCTAGTTTTGGCCATGATTTGTTTAGTACTGTAGGAAGAATTTCCTTCCAAGTCATGGTCTGGAATCCCAGATATTATTCTCTGTTCTGATGGAGCCCAGTTGGATGAACCTGAGATATATTCATGGCGGTCTGGTCACTTTTGTATTACTGGGCCCAGGTCCCCCATCCTGCTCTGCTCCCTGCGGGCAGGTAATTATAGCAGCCAGTAGTGTAATTTACAAGGTATTGGTTTTTTCTGTATCCTTTTCCTACTTAAAAATGTGAGTGTCACGTCCTCCACTGCTGTGGCTCAGCATGAACTGATGACGTGTCTCTATCAGCTCTCTCCACCTTGTCCCTTCCCACCTCCCTGGGGCACTGTTAAAGTCGTTTTTTTTTTTTTTTTTTGCATAGTTTGTGCCATTTATGGTCATGTATGGTACCAATAAAACAACTTTTCGGTTTGGTGCTCTCCTTCCAGTGTCATTTCTCATCTGGATCTTGAGAAAGGGGATCTGTTCTTCCATGTGGGTTCTAGCCATCAGAGTTCTGTGGTTAGGCTGAAGTAAACAGCTGATATGATGGCATTCAAGGACTAACACTTGCTCTCTGCTGCCAGCATCTCCCAGTTTTAAATTGTGATCCTTGTTTCCCACTTCCCTTTCCATTTCTACAGAACTGTGTGTGCTGATACAAAGCATTCTGGAATCTGTGCACCAAGCAACCGAGAAATCTTGAGCACATCTAAAAGTAACAGAAAAGTTTCTGCAGCTGAAGAACAAGTGTTCTTGTGTGGAAAGGGGAAAGAAATATCACAGAGAAGCTGAGCCATGCTCTTCCTACATCTGCAGGAGGGGAGGCAGCCAGGCAGTTTGCAGCCCAAATATGGTTGCATTGTCAACTGTTTGACTAACAGAAAATAGGGTAAACAAATTTGATAGAAGTCATGAATGTCATAGAAAATTAGTTGGTTTGGTAGTTGGAACATTTCATCTCCAACAGTAGTGTCCTTTATTACTGATTAAGCCCCGATCACCGATGTCACATTGGGGTAGGGAGGTGGGGAAAAAAGCTAGCCATGTGGCTAGCATTGGCAATGCATGAGAAGAGAGAGAATGATGCCAGAATTGTTTCTGCCTCACTAGCCAAGGGAACTTTAGCATTATATTAGCCTGCATTTTCCCTTCCTCCATTTTGTAAGCTACCAGAAAATAGACACTGTAATGTTAGAAAGATCAGTCACAAATGTTAATACCTGTGTCTTTCGAAACTATTGTAATCATATGCCATATTTCATTCTTGGAACCAAACTTTGCAACATTAAAGAGACACAAGGCTTTGGCTACTCTTTTGCTTCTTCTCTCCATGTAAATTTTAAAAAATGAGGGAAATATATTTTAGGAAGCAACCAACAACTTCTGTACATAGGCCTTTTCCTGCTTAAGCCCAATTCCTGAGCCAATCATAAAGTGTTTGACAGCAGAGGAACAAATCTGCTTCCAGGAATTGAAGCATTTAATTTTAAACATTTAGCCGATGAGTCTACAAGCAAGTCCTAATAGTTTTCCTACCAGAATTCTTTGTGGAGAGAGGGAAAATATATCTCTGGAATTCTGGCATTAGTTGACTGTCTGGTGTCTAGCTTCTTGTCCCATTAGTGGGAAATGATGGGCCTAGAGGTAGAAAAAGCTATCATTGGTGGAGGTCATGCATGTAAAGATAAGGAAGCAAGGAGACTAAGTCAAAGTGCTTTTACTTTTGTCATTAACCAGACTTGAATAAGAATAAGATTAATAACATGAAACAAGGTTTTAAAAGAATATGAGGTAAGTAAAAAAAATGTAGCCAGTTTGAACTGTTCCTAGCAAGATCCTGACAAAGTTTGGTGGCATTATAAGAAAGCAGATCGCTCTGATCAACTAAAAGAAAGCCAAGGTAAAAGCTATCTCTGCAACCTGAATATTGAGGTAATAAAGGCTTAATAAGTTTATGTTGTAGTTTGCACTAAGATTGACAATAAAGAAGAATATGAGCTGTTGTTTCAATAGCTCCTGATTTGCAATGACAAAATTATTAATTGTACAGGATTTGGGGGAATCTCCCTTCCAGAAACATAGTTTGGAAGACATTACAGTGTGCATGGCATGGAGAGTTAAGTAGTTCCTAATGTTGCAACTTACTCTAAAGCTTTAGCAAAGTAGAATGGGGTAAGCTGAGAATTAACATAAACAGATTTGGGGAAATCCCAACTTCTTCACCTTTAATTCTTTATTGATAAAAATGGTCCCAATATGGTAAGCGTTCTAACTCCTCCCCATCCCTGTTAATCTCTGAAGGGCTATTACAAACCCAGGTGGAAGAATTGGAATAAACATGGATCTGCTGTGTTTCCATTGTCTGTCACTTCCATGTTGTGAGCTTAAACCCAAAGATGAGTTTTGGTTCCCTTAGAGTTACCTTCTTGATTTGAGGGTAGTGTTATGGTGCATTACAACTTCAATCAGATACAATTTGATTAAATACAATCAGATTCATTATTCCAGTTTTCTCTAGGTTCACAACTTTCAGACTTCCATTTGATCTCATGTTTAAAAAAGATAGGGAAGATGGGAGTTGTAACTAGTAGTTTCTTGGGCTGTTGGTTCCTGTCAGATTCTTTCCCCTGTTGCCACTCAGTGTAAGTTCAGCTTGCTGTGAATGTTTTATTACAAGAGCATTTTAAGCAGTTCACATGTATGGGGGGGGGGGATTTTATAGGGTTGGTAATGAATGCAACTCACGTGTATAGAGGGGTACCTTATATCACCACATGTCTAATAAAAAAATACTGCAACCTTATTTTTCCCAAGGAACAGAATAAACGTTACAGAGAAGTCATTAGGGCAGACAGAGCTAAAGAACTTTGGGGAAGAGCATTAAGGCAGAATCAAGCCTTATAGAATTAAGCCTTGCCTGTGTTTTTAAAGGGATATCAAGGACAGAGACTAGTCTGGGAAGTTTAAAGAAAAATCTCAGAAGAAGAGAATGCCAAGTCACTTCCATATTGAAGTGAATTTGTCTCTTACGCTATCATGAGTTGAGTTTAACTAGGAGACTTAACTGTTTAAAGGTGTCTTTTGATGCCTATGCAGTGCTTAAGGCATCCATTCCATCCTACAAAGCCCGCAAGTGCCAAAGGGGGGGTGTCTAAAAAATTTCAGTCTCCCCTATATTTCTGTCTGCACCATCTATGAATCCAGCTGACTAGCCTCGTACAGAGAGGCATGGGAAACAGGCCACCCTGCATTGTGAAGTGATCAGGCACATTATGTTTTTAGTTTTCATTGTGGTATGCTGGTGACTGACATAAACTTGGTAGTATGGATTCTGAGGAGGAGAGTTTTAATTGTGGACCACTTACATGGCTAATAAGCTGTCTGCACAGATCTATGCTCATAGTAATCTGTTTCATTATGGATAGACACACATCCTTTAAAATCACATTCAGTTTTATTCCACCATGCATTGTGATTTAACTAACATTGAAACCTTGAATGTCAGCTTATCCTAGTTTTTTGTGCTTCAAAAACTCAAGTGCCATCTATTTATTTAGAATGATAGAATCAGTGTTGGAAAATACCTTGAAGATAATCTACTGCAACCTCCTGTCTTGTGCAGGAATCCACTACTATGGCGTCCCTGACAGATGCCATCCAGCCTCTCTTTAAATATCTTCAGCAAAGGAGAGCCCTCCTGAGACAGCCTGTTTGATTATTGAACCAGTCTTACTGTTGAGGTTTTCACTGATATCCAACAAAAAAATTACTTCCTTGTAATTACACTCATTGTTTCTTGTCCTGTCTGCTGGAACAACTTTGAACAGTTCTACCCAATCTTTTGTAGTACCTCCAGATACTGGAAGAAAACTATCATGTCTCCCTGTAATCTTCTCCAGGCCAAACATATCCAGTGCCCCCAACTGTTCCTCTTACTCTTTCATTCCAGACCTCATCTTGGTGGGTGTCCTCTGGATATAACTCTATCAGTATCCATCCTAAAATGTGCCCCAAACTCTTAATCTTGACACTGTATTCTGTTGATGCAGTATAGGATTGTATCTACTGTTTCTGCAATTGCATCACCCTGTTGGTTCATGTTCAGCTTATGATCACCATTTTATTGTATGTATTTTCTTCCCATATGTCTGCCAAAATTTGCTGCTGAAATGGTTTTCTGTCCTGGGATATTTTTATGAACAATGGGAAAGAAATAGAATAAATGACAGTTGGGATGTGTTTTGAGTCATGTATATGTGGAAGTCATGTATATTTTGAGTGATGTATATGTATGATGCAACAGAGCTTGAAATAGAGGGTTTCTATGCCAGCATCGAAAAAACTCTTGAGGCAAGTGCCCCCAAAAAACATTATTTACATACTGGGTGATTTCAGTGCAAAAGTTGGCAGCCAAGCAGAAACAGGCATAACTGGCAGCTTTGGACTTGGTGAGAGGAATGATGCAGGCGATAGTTTGGTTCAATTATGTCATTAAAATTGTTTCTGAACCATGAATATCTGGTTCAAACGGCACAAGTGTTGCTTATACACTTGGACCTCACCAAATAAGCTGTCCTGAAATCAGATAGACTATGCCCTATGCAGCCATTCATGGCCCAGTTCAGTCCTTGCTGTCAAGACACATCCAGGTGCCAATTGTGGTTCAAATCATGAATTGTTGGTGGCTAAGATCAGAGCCAAATTATGCAACATCAAAAAGCACCACCCAAAAAGTTTGACATCACCATAATCCCTTCCATATATGTACTTGAAGTGAAAAATAGGTCTGAACTGCTGGATGCTGCTGAAAAGATGCCCGATGAATTGTGGCAAGAAATTCAATCAACCATCACTGAAACAGCAGTTGAACACGTACCATACAAGAAGCCAGAGAAAAAGTGCAAGGGGCTCTCAGATGAAGCCATCAGAATAGCTGAGCAAAGAAAAGCAGCCAAAGCAGTAGGCAAATGGGAGGAAGCAAGGAGATTGAACGCAGATTTCCAAAGAGCAGCAAGAAAATAAAGTTTATTGGGACCAATGTTGCAAGCAGCCAGAAGAGGACTGCATGAAGTGCTGTATCAGGAATGCATTTGTGGAAGTAAAAAGTATTTGAACGCCATTTACTGCTCATAAAAGCATCATCAGAAACAAGCAAGGGAAAGAACTGTCTGACCAGCAAGGTGTTAAGAACAGATGGCAAGAATATACAGAAGAGCTCTATGCCAGCAATAAAGAGGCCCAGCCTTCTCAGGATGATGAGGAAAGAGTAGCAGAAATAGAAGCAGCCATCCTTCAGGAAGAAGTGTGGGCAATGAGCCAACTGCCAAAGAACAAAGCCAGGTGTTGATACCATCACCACAGAATTGCTGAGACCTGTACCACCCACAGCTATCACAGCCCTGTACCAGAAAGTTTGGGAAACAAACACATGGCCACAGGATTAGAATTGATCAGTGTTCATTCCATTGCCAAAAACTGGTGACTCCAAGGATTGCTCCAATCACCACACAATTCCCCTCATCCCTCACACTAGCAAGATTCTCCTTAAGATCATACAACAACATCTGGTGCCGACCATCGAAAGGGAATTACCAAATGAACAAGGCTGGATCATGAGGAAGCTGGAACTATCAATCTGAGTAAACACTGGAGGAAGGAACATCAACAATCTTCAGTATGCTGGCAACACAACTCTCAGAAACCAAAGGAGGCCTGAAACATCTGATGGAAAGGATTAAAGAAAAAGTGAGAAATTTGGCCTCTTCCTGAACATCAAAAAGACCAAGCTCATGACCACTGCATGGAATGGAAATGTCAAAATAACTGTTGATGGTGAAGAGATTGAATGCATGCAAGAATTCACTTTCCTAGGATTGCAGATTGATCAAACCAGTGAATGCAGTCCAGAAATAAAGTGTCAGATTGCACTGGGTCACACAGCAATGATGAGCATGAAGCGAGTATGGAAAAGCAAGGACATCAGCCTGGCAACTAAATGCAGATTAGTTCGCACTATCATGTTTCCCATAGCTACCTATGGTTGCAAAAGTTGGACCATGAAAAAGCTGGACATGAATAAAATTGACTTGTTCAAGCTGTGGTGTTGGAGAAGGCTCCTGCGCATTCCTTAATCAGCAAAAGTGACAACTGGAGCATATAAAACCAACATATTTCTGGAGGGCAAAATTACAAAATTCCGCCTTACTTATTTTAGCCATGTCATACGATCAAACTCACTGGAAAGGACAGTTATGCTTGGAATGGTCAGCAGTAAAAAGAAACGAGGCCACCAAAAACCACGGTGGCTAGACACCATCAAAACCGACCCCAGCTAGAGCACAAAACAACTAAAGCTGTACAAGATCAGAAAATATGGATAGAGTCCATAGAATTGCCGAGAATCAGACATGATTGAATGGATAACGTCATTATCATGTGTGGAAAGGATGTCTCTTTGAAACTAGCATTTGTTGATAGTCTAGGCTGCTGCATAGAGAAGCATGTAGAAGGAGGATACTAGTGGCTAATAAGTATATCAAAACACAGAAGGATGCTTTCTTTTGACTATCATAAAGGAAGAGATGGATCAATAGTCTTGTCCTACTATTGCAGATACCTGAAGTACAGGGTATCTATTTAATAAGTTGGTAAAATTAATTATATTGTGAAATGTCTCTTTTTTGCATTTAAGAGTTCCAGAATACATGTATAATGGGGGAAGGATAGAAAGTGTTTTATGAACCCACCACCTTAACCTTTAATGTTTATATAATATATTTCAACGCAATACTAGAAGAAGTCACAGTATCAAGGAAGTGGCCCCAAAGACAGAATAAATTCCATATCAAAGCCAGAACAGCATGGCCCTACCCTCTTCCATCTGTTGATTGTAAATTTGCTTCCTACTTCTGTTCTCATGCATTGCTAATCTCTACAAAGGTGTTTCTGTCAGCCGCACCCACTGTAAAAATAAACACAGTTCCCTGTAGGATAAGAACTTGTCCAAGAATTCCAAATCTAAGAATAGAAAAATGGCATTTGGTTTTTCTTTTTTAAAAACATTGTAGCCATATGCAGTGATACGTCCTACAGAGTTGTGAATAACTTGAGTTGTGATTGAGATACAATAATGGTCTTTCCGTTGTTGAAAGATACTATGTAAATGCACGTCTACAATTATGCACATCTATTTAAAAGGCTTTTAAAGGCTTTGCAAAGATCAAGAATGGACTTCTACACCCATGGAAAGAGTGAGTTCACACATGGTTTTAAGCAAGAGTGGGTGGAATGATAAAACAAAACTGGCAGAGCCAGAGTTGTCTAGTTTCTAAATTATTTTAAGCCTATTACAGAACTTACACTCTGTATGTGTGTCCCTGTCCCATCCCAACTTACAATGGCAGGAAATCATATTGCTGATTTTTGGCAACTGTAGTTAGAAACTCTGTCAATGGCAAAAATAGGACTGGGGAGCCACAAGTGGCCCTGGGGCCTCAGATCACCCACCCCGTGCTAAACTGTAATTTAGTTTTGGGGTTTGGTTTAGCACATTGTGCTTCTGCTGGTAAGTATTGTGCCTTAGCTTGATATGAACCCAGTCATTGTGACTTATTCAACAGAACATAGGGTTCTTTCAAGGAACAGTATTAATATGCAGTCCTCCAGTAAGTGAATCATCAGAAAAGTATGCTGGCATAAATTACTCTGCCCAGACTGCCAAACCCTGTTTATGTCTCAGTAGTGAGACTGCTGAGTGGTGCTGTCCTTTTAGCTTGTAAGGTGATTTATGGATTCTCCAGCTTTGTTCCCTTTCATAATGAGCAGCACTTAGTAGGAAGAACAACCACTCTGTGTGGTGGGATGGAGTTGGGCAACTGGGCAGTGTTCCTGGGATGGATGGTTTAGCCACCTTTCAAGCTGCCCAAGTGACTGGTCACAGGCAAAGTGGTGCTCCATGCCTGGGACTTGTCACTCAACCTATTTCTGAGAAACGGTCTACTACTCTTCTGAAACAGTGCTAACTTTATGTTCAAAATTATCATGGCTGCCAAATGGCAGTCATGGAGGAGGAGAATCGGGATTGTGCAGGAGGAAGCAATAAAGAAGTGCTGACAGTGAGTGACCATAGCCAGCAGCACTTTCAAACCCAGTCAGGGGGGGAGGAGGGGAGCTGTACTTAAATGTGAAAGAACATCATTCCTGAGAGCACCAGACTTTCCCAGCTACTCAGGAAAGTCTATAGGACCCTAGACATAAAAATACTCAGAGCTGCCACACACACACACCCTCCCACACATCCCCTGTTGAGTATGGTGGCAGGTTTCTTCCCAGTGGCTAGCAAGCCCCTCACATCTAGACTCCCAGAACTGTTCAACATGCCCTTCCTAAGAGGCCAAGCAGGGGATTCCAGGAACAATGACGGGTGGATTCTCTCTGGCTGCCAAACTACCTTCTCACAGGCGGACCTGGACCTGGACCTGCTCAATCCCATCCCCCAGCACTGGTTTCAACGGACATGATAAATTCAGACAAGGGGGACACCCCCAAATAGAGGATAGGAAAATGGAGAACCTGCATACATGAGGCAACAAGGGCCTCCCTGGCTACTTCAGTCTTTGTCAGGACTTCCACCTTTGGACCAAACAGCTAGTTCAGCCCATCACTCCAGAGTGTAGGTTGCTAGTTTGGACAGTGCCTAGTTCCCAGACAGAGGCCTGGCAGATTGTATAGGCACCAGGAGAGAACTACAGCTGAAAACAAAGTGTTAAAGCTCTATAAATCTATTCTCATTTTGAGCCTGTTCAAAGGTGGGCAAGCTACTTGATGACACACAAGATGGTGTCCTAACTGCAACTAAAGGCAAGAAAAAAGCCTTGTCCCTGATCATCAAGAAATAGGAAGGCAAGGACAACAAAATGCCAAACTATTCCCATTGCTTTCATCCCTACCCACCCAGAACAAAATCTTGAATTAGATAGGTCATGGATTACTCTAGGGGAAGGGGCGCAACAGACAGCCCAAAACAGGCCACACCAACCCCAACCCAGGAGAACTACTTCCCCCATCAGTAGAAGGGACATGCATGCAAAGAACACTTCTGGGTGAGAGGCTAAAGGAATTAAACCACCTATCAAACTTATGTGTCCTAAAGATTGTCTCACACAGTTACCCTACAAAATTTACCAGTATCCCCACCCAAGATTATTTCACCTTTTGCCCCAGACTGTGCAAATAAGCCCAAACATAGACTGCAGGCAGGTCCTGAGGATCATAAACCACCTTCAGCACATTTAGGCCATTAAACTTGTCCCTC